TATTTTGGAATAATTCTAGATTTACAGAGAAAAGTTGTAAAGATAATACATAGTTTCAGTTTATCCTAATGTTATCATCTTATATTACCATGACATATTTGTCAAAACTAAGAAGCCAACATGGTACTCTTTTAACTGATTTCCAGACTGCAATCATATTTTACCAGTTTTCCCATTTATTCCATTTTTCATTGGCACAATCTGATGCAGTATAACACATTGCATTGCCATGTCTCCTTAATGTGCCCTGGTCTGTGACAATTTCTTTCTTTGTGGTTAATGATCTTGACAGTTTCGAGGAGTACCGCTCAGGTATTTTGTGGACGGTCCCTCAGTTTTTTTATCTTATATTTTCATCATGATTGAACTAGGGTTATGAGTTTTGTTAAAAACGAAAATACCACAGAAATAATGTGGTCTTTTCGCATCACATTGGGAGTACATGATATCAACATGATTTAGCACTGCCGATGTTAACCTTAATCATCTGGTTAAGTGGCGTTTCCCAAGGTTCTCCACATTCCAATTTACTATTTTCCATTTCCAGTATGTATTAGTTTTATAAGAAAATAACTAATAACATATTTTTAAAAGTAAAAAAAAAAATATTTCAAGGGCCAAATGGATCCCTGCAGATTAATGGTTTCCCAAACGGTCCAGAGCCCTTTTCAGGAGAGTTGGACACTGAAAATGTTATTTCCCAGAGAATAGATAAATATGACTTACTGGAAATTTCTTTATTTACTTTTCTGACAAAATTAAATTTCACTAATATCCTTTCTATACTCCCCCTTAGGAATATAGGACTTGCTTTGTTAAAGCAGTTTAAGTAGTAATGGAAAAAAAAATGTTTCCATTTTATTTTACAGCAATCTAAAAAGGGATGATTTTTACTTGATTCTTGGAAGTAGCTTAAAATGTTCTGAGAGACTCCCAGATCATAGCTGTGCTGAATGCACCTTTGCTCTTAGGGTATGGTATCATAGACTGTTTTTCTGTTACCTTCACAGCTGAAATGACATAAGAAGGCCTCATTCTGGTTCAAGTTTAAATTTCAATAATTAATGCCTTTGTGGGGAAATCACCCTGCTTCACTAAAGGAATATAGAAAAGCAGCATTGTTTCTCAGGTACTGCAATAATTTAATTTCAATCATGAAGAGAAATGTTTTTTTTTTTTTTGGTTGTGTTTTTTTTTTCCCCGAAAAATATAGTATAGTGTTTAAAAGCATAAGCTTGTTCGAGATACATTATTTACTATCTGTGTAGGTCCCATAATGTTTCTGTGATTTATACTCCTCCTCTGTAAAAACTGGAATAGTATCATCCTCATAGTATGAGGACTACTGTCTTCCTTTTGAATTGACGCTTTTATCATTATGAAATATGCCTCTTTATCACTCATAGTAATTCTTGCTTTAAAAACTACTTTGTCCAACATTAATACAACCATGAAAACTTTGTTATTTTTAATGTTTGCATGGTGTATATTCTATCCTTTTACTTTTGATTTATCTGTACCCTTATATGTAAAATGTCTCTTGTAAATGACATTTAGTTCATTCATATTAATGTAATCAATGATATAGTTGCATTTAAGCCTATCGCCTTGCTATTGTGTTCTATTTTTCTCATTTGTCCATTGTTTCTGTTCTTTTCCTTCCTTACTTTGGATTAACCAAGTTTCTCATGATCATTGCTCCATTTTGAGTCTTCTATTAGCATTTTGTTTATACCATTTTCTAATGTCTTTAGTGGTTATTCTAGAGCAGTAATTCTCAACTAGATGTGATTTTGGTACACAGTGGACATTTGGCAATGTCTGGGTCTATTTCTGAGGAGGGGAGTGTTAGTGGCATCTAATGGATAGAGGCCAAGGATACTGTTAAACGTCTTGCAACACACAAGAGAATCCCCCACAAGAGTTATTAATTCCCCAAAGTCAGTAGCAATAAGGTCGAGAAATCCTCCAGAGGGTTGGAGGTTACATCATACATCCTTAATTTATTATAGTCTACCTCAAATTAGTACTTTACTACATGATAAATGCAAATTATGAAGCAGTAAAGCGCCATTTATCTGCTCCCATCCTTGGTGATATATTTTTCACTTCTACATACATTATACATTCATTGATAGAATAAACATAATGTGGTATATACTACAGTGGGATATTATTCAGCCTTTAAAAAGTAAGAAAATTCTGACATATGCTACAACATAGATGAGGCCTGAGAACACTATCCTAAATAAGCCAGTCACAAAAAGTCATATGCTATGATTCCACTTAAATGAGGTCCTTAGAGTAGTCAAATTCATATAGTTGGAAAGTAGAATAGTGATTGCTGTGGGTTGAGTGGGAGGAGAAATGGAGAATTATTGTTTATAGAGTCTCAGTTTTGCAAGATGAAGAGTTCTGAACATGGATGGTGGTGATGGTCCCACAATATGAATGTACGTAATACCACTTAACTATACACTTAAAATGATTAAGATGGCAAATTTTATGTTATGTGTACTTTACCACAATAAAAAAAAGAAATTGGAGAAAAAAATCACTGCCCAGGAGGCCACGTTAGTCTTGAGTTTGGGGTGGTAGGGCAAAACAAAGGCAAGTCCCTGAGTTGATCCCTTAGGGAGGCACCAGGCAGGTCAAACACAGAATTGTATGTAACTCTTTGGAATGAGGTCTGCATTGCCCCCTTTGGCACCAGTAAGCTCGCCATTCCATGGCTATCACTGAGCTGTTGATTAGGAGGATGGTATGCAAGTAAATGCCATAACACTCTTACTGAAACTCAGCAGCCTTTTCTTCATCAAGCACTACTTTGGTTGTTCATTATAATGATAATCTAACATTTATTGAGTTCTTTGAATATTATTAAGTAATATTCAAAACACCTTACATGTATTCATTTAATCCTCACAACAACCTTATAAGGTAGATACTACTATTGCCCTCATTCACTTAAAAAATGAAAACAAAACAAAACAAATCTAAGGCATAGCAAGTTTAAATAACTTACTCAAGTTCACATAGCTAGTAATTGGTAGAGTCAGGGTACATACACTGGGAGTATGGCATTAGATTTCATACCCTTAACCACTCACTATGTATACAGTAAATGGAGAGAGAATGCAGGCACAAATGTAAATAGATAGTAGATTTGGTGATAAAAAGATGCAGAAGTTCTCATCTGATTGCTTTTATTTTCTCAATGAAATATGAAGCAAGGTCCACATCAGTTATCTATATCTGTCCATTTCTTTTCATATCAACCTATTATATTTTATGGTTGTACCACAATTTAATTACTTAACTAATCACTCTCTATTGATGAATCTTTGTTTCCAGGTTTTTGCTATTATAATGCTGCAATGAATATTCCTGTACATATTTGTTTGAGCTATTCATAAGTATTTCCATAGATTTCTGGAAGTAGATTTTCTAGATCTTCACAATTTTTAATAGATATTGCCAAATTGTCCCCCCAAAAGGTTATATTTATTTATACTCCCATCCAAAGTACACGAGTGTCTATTTTCCACACCCTTGGTGTTATGAATCTTTATATGTGACATTACGACAGCTTATAAAAAGATAACACCCGGTGCCCTGATCTTGGTTTCTAAATATTTTTCCAATAAAAGAATCTAGGGCTCCAAGTAGAATGGTTGATTTTAGCACTGGGTAGGGAAAATACAGGATGATCCTGGAACACCTTGTGGTGTTAGGAAATAAGTTCAAAAAATGGAAACATATCAAAATGACATAGACGCTCCCAATGGCCAAAACTGAAACAATCTGAGCAACAAAATAAGATGGTATTAGGTTATAAGTCATAGAATAAACTAAACACATTAGTTCATGCTGATATAAATAAATGAGTACATAAATGGGGGAGATGTGTCATCTTCCTCATAGAATTTGTTAATAAATATAGAAGGAATAAAATAGAAAATCACCACTAGGTAAACACCATAGTAGTAATTGTCACCATTAAGAACCACTGATGAATGCTAAAATTAGTAGGGTGAAGTATGATGAGAAATAGAATATTCGAATGGTCTCAAGGTATCTTCCTACGAGATATTAGTTATAAAGAGGAAAAAGTTAACTTCATAGTGAAGGATAGACACCACCTTAATCAAGTGATAATCAAGGTTAATATCACTAGTATTTTAAGACATATCAGCAACTATATCCCGATATAATGTACTAAAAAGGGCACATCCCTTCTGGGGTATTTTTACCAAAAATGCATAACCTCAATCTAATTACAGAAAAACACCAGACAAGAACCAATTTTGGAATTTCACAAACTATCTGACTAGTACTCTTCCAAATTTTCAAGGTCATCAAAGACAAAGACTGAGAACTGTCACAGATAGGGACAGAATAAGGATACATGATAATAAAATGCAATGTAAGAGCCTGGATTTGATCCTGGATCATAAAAGGACATTAGTGGGACAAATGGAAAAAAATCAAATAAGGTCTGTAAATTAGTTAACACTACTGTAGTGTTTTCCTGGTTCTGATAATTGTATTAGTTATGTAAGATGCTAACATTAGGAGAAGGTGGGTGAAGGATACATGGGAACTCCTTTACTATTTTTGTGACTTTTTTTTTTTAAAAAGAGAGCTCATTGTCCTAATGTGCATTACTAATCTGAGCATTTTTCTTAGTTTATCAGTCATTTATATTTGTTTCTATAAATTTTATCTTTTTATTGATTGACTTTCATATATTAAGAAAATTATATACATTGTTATTAAGGAAATTATCCCCTTGTATGTAGCAAGTTATGTTTCCTGTTTCTATTTTTTTAATGGTAAGTTTTGTGTGTGTATGTATTTATAGGATGTTTTTAACTGACGATTTCTGCTGACCTGTTGGCGGAAAATAAGGAATAGTAGCCAAGTAGCTTTAAGTCTTCAACAGTAATCAAAAGACTACGGAATACAAACAATACGTTACCGAAATGACTTTGAGAGACTTTTTCTTTCCTCCATTAAAATCGTATTTATTTTAAAATTTACATACAGTAAAACTTACCTTTTGGCATACAATTCTAGGAGTTTCAACAAATGCATAACTCATTTAACTATAATCAAGATACATAAAATTTCCATTATTAAAACAAATTTCTTGTGCTACCACTCTGTAATCAGTCTCCCATTTTTAACTCCTGACGTCCGCCGATTTGTTCTCTGGCCCTGTAATTTTATTTTCCAGAATATCATATAAATGGAATCAAACAGTAAGTAGTATTTTGAGTTTGGTGTCTTTTACTTTGCAAAATGCATTTGAGATTCATCCAGGTTGTTGCATATATCACAGTTCATCATAGTTTTTATTGCTGAGTAGGATTCCATTGTATGGATATACCAGTTTATCTATGCACCAGTTGAGAGTCATTCTCCATTTTAATTTTCCTCTATTGTTAGTGGTCCATAGGTCTAGTAAAGGGCAGAAGTGAGATTTTCCACCCAACAGGAAGAATTTCCTTCTGAAAATTCCAGGTTAGAAGTATGCCCCTGGGAAACACGTGCAAGAGGTTATACCAGGATAACTTACTTCTCATTCCTTAAACTATATTTAAAATTGGAGAGTTAATCCTAAGTGATCAGTATAACAAAAGAATAGGAGTTTGTCCTGAGTATAGTTAGATATCCTAAAAGAAGGCCTGATATATATTCTGGAAGCCATCATTGCCAGAGTATTTAAAAAAAAAATTTTAGTTAAAAAAAAAATACTGAAAATCACCTCAAACCACTTTAAAAATTTAATAAAGCAAAAGTCCCCTTTCAGCCTATCCAATCCCACCTCTAAAAGGTTTACAATTTGGTATGTATATTTCCCAGCTTTTCCCTAATTTTATTAAAAAATATCTATATATACATATACCATATATATATGCAAATGTTTTTAAAAAATGTATTCACATTATACAGTTGACCCTTGAACAATATGGGGGTTAGGGGCACTGAACCCCACGCAGTTGGAAATCCATATATAACTTTTGACTCCCTGGAAACTTAGTTGTCCCTCGGGATCCACGGGGGATTGTTCCAGGACCCCGAAGATACCAAAATCTGCAGATGCTCAAGTCCCTTATATAAAATGGCATAGATTAATGCATACAGTTGGCCCTCTGCTTCCCTGAACTCCGAACCATGGACTGAAAACAGTATAGGTACTTATCGAAAAAAAATCTTTGTATAAGTGGGTCTGCATAGTTCATACCCATGTTGTTTAAAGATCAGCTGTACAATGTTTCTTGCTTTTTGACTTAATACAAAACCCTGGACACCATAATGGTTAGAATGTATTTGTTGATATTCCCCATTATTTTGGTGGCTGTAGTGTTCCACTAAATGGATATGGCATTAATTTATTCATCTATTCTCCTACTGATGGACATTTGGGTTGTATTCAATTCTTTGTGTGTGTGAGACTTTGAGATATACTTCACATACCATAGAAATTTACCCATTTAAAGTTTACAATCATGATTTGTAGTATATTCACTGAGTTGTACAATTTAATCATTTTCATCAACCTCTAAAGAAACCTAATACACTTCAGCTATCACATCCAGCCCTAAACAACCAGTAATTCATTTTCTGTCTTTATATATTTGTCAATTTTGGACACTTCATATAAACGAAATCATATAATGTACAGTCTTTTGTCACTGTCATATCATTTAGCATGTCTTCAGGGTTTTTCCATGTTGTAGCATATATCAGAAGTCTTCCTTCCTCTTACTTTTTGGGAGAGTTTGTAAGAATTTGTATTAATTCTTCTTTAATGTTTGCTAGAATTTATCTGAAAAGCCATTTCAGCCTAGGCTTTTGTGGGTATTTTAAAAAATTACTAATTAACCTATTTGATATAGGTCTTTTTAGATTTTTTCCATTGGTTTCAATAGTTTCTGTGTTTTATTTATTGGCATATAGTTGTTCATAGTGTTCCTTCATGAATTTTTTATTTCTATAAGGTTGGTAGTAACATTTCCTCTTTTGTTTCTAATAATTTGAGGGTTTTTTTTCCTAGTCAATCTAGTAAAAGGTTTGTCATTTTCATTGATCTTTTTATAGAACCAACTTTGGTTCCATTGACTTTTTTTATTGTCATTTATGTTTAAAAATGTGCTTCCCTCTGCTTGCTCTAGGCTTAGTCTGCTCCTGTTTTTCCAGGGTCTTAAGGTATTGAGGTTATTGATATGTGATCTTTATAAAATATAGGCATTTGTATTTATAATTTTCTAAGCATTGGTTTAGATGCATCCCATAAGTCTGGGTTGTTGTGTCTTCATTTTCATTCACCTCAAAAGATTTCCTAGTTTCTCCTGTGATTTCTTCTTTGACCCATTGGTCATTTCAAAAAGTGTCTAATTCATATTTGTTAATTTTCCAACTTTCTGTCATTGATTAGTAACTTCATTCCATGTGGTCAGAGAACATACTTTGCATGGTTTGAGTCCACTTAAATTTACTGAGGTTTGTTTTATGGTCTATCCTGGAGATGTTTCATGTGCACTTAAAGATGTATATTCTGCTATTGTAGTATAGAGGTATATATTTTTTCCCCTCTGGTTTGACAGTCTCTGACTTTTGATTGCACTGCTTAATCCATTTATGTTCACTGTTATTATTCAAAGGTGTGTTTACAACTGCCATTTTACTGTTTGTTTTCTATAGGTCTCAGGTTTTTGTTTCTCCATTCTTCCTTTTACATTGCTTTATATTGAAAATTTCCTAATGTAATACTTTCTTTAATAATATTTCCACTATATATATTCAATTATTTCCTTAGTGGTTGTTCTAAAGCCTACCATGCACATCTTAACTGAACTGGCTTCAGATGTATACTAACTAAATTCGAATGAGATAAAAACCTTATTCCTATATAAACCAATTCCTTTCCCCACTTCTTTATACTATAGTTATATATATTTCTACGTGTTATAAACCAAACAACACATTGTTACAAATATTACTTAATTTTGTCTTTTTAAGAAGCTGAGAGAATAGCAAGTGTATAACTTTTTAATATTAACCTTATTTCATATTTGTTGTTTTCTTCATTCGTTCCTGTGGATTTGAGTTACCATTTGGAGTCACTTCTTCAGGCCAATACAGTTTTGCTTCCATCTACCTCTTTTGTCCTGTTATTGGCAAATATATTAGTTTTACATGTTATAGGCCCCTAAATGCAACTATATACATAGTTTTATAAACTTGCTTTTTAAATCAATTCAGAAAGAAAAAATGCATTTAGATTGTCTTTTATAATTACATAATTACCTTTACCCGTGCTATGTTTTTGGATGTGTAGATTCAAATTACTGTCCGAGGTCACTTGCTTTTCATCTAAAGAACATCCTTTAATATTTCCTATAAGTCAGGTCTGCCAGCAACAAATTCTCCTAGTTTTTGATTATGTAGGAATGCCTTTATTTCATCTCCATTTTTGAAAAGTAGATTTATTGAATGTAGGCTTCTATATTGTTTTTTTCTTTGAGCACTTTGAATGTTATCCCATTGCTACCTGCATCTTTTCTGATGAGAAGTCAGCTGTTAATCTTATTGGGGTTCCCTTGAATGTGATGTTTCATTTTTCTCATGTTGCTTTCAAGACTTTCTCTGTCTTTGGGTTTTTGCATTTTTATTATGTCTGTGGATTTCTTCTTGCTAATCCTACTTGGGGTTTGTTGAGATTCTTGGATGTGTAGATAATGTTTCTCATCAAATTTGGTATGTTTACAGCCATTATTTCTTGAAATACTTTTTTTCCTGCTCATTTCTTTCTCTTCTCTTTTTCTGGTACTCCCATTACAAGTATGTTGGAGTACTTAATGGTCTTACGCTCTTCAATTTCCTTCATTCTTTTTTTCTTTCTGTTCTTCAGTCTAGATCTTATTTTATCCTCACAACTTAACGAGGTAAGTAGTTTTATTATCCTTATTTTATAGATGAGAAAACTGAGGTTCAGAATATAAAAGACTTGCCAAGGTCATGGAGTGGTTAAGTGTGGCTGTGATGTTCAAACAGGTGTAACTCAAGTTTGTACTACTTCTTCTGTACCATATTATCTAATCTCTAGCAACTATAAACAACTGGGGGATTTGGGATTGGCTGTCTCTCTTCTAGAGAACAATCTCTTCCTATCCCCCCTTTAATAATTTTTGCTAGTATGTTCTTCATCTAAAATTCATATGCCTAACAATATATTATATGCTTATTCAATATTTATTGCTTTGAATTCAATGATTACTCAATGGTAGCTAGCTTAATGACCATGAAAACATCAATATTTAGATCTAAATGCTTACATTAGAAAAATATATGACTTTTGAAGACACCAATAACTTAATGGGCAAGCATTAATTAAATGTGTGTACTGACTTATGAAACCACACACTGTTACTGCTGATAGTTCTCATTTAACAGCATTTGTTGATGTTTTGTCCTGGGGTGCTGGTCATTTATTTACTAGGTGAATAAAAGTAGGGAAAAATGGACTTTAATAAATGAATATTTCAATATTTAATTTGTTTTTAAGTTCTGTACATAAGAGGCAGTTTTAGAAAAGATGTATCTAGGGACAAATATTTAATACCCCAGATAAATTATAAAGATTAAAAAAATCCTTGGACATAATCCTTTGTAATTTATCCTGAGAAAATGAAACTCTTTTTATCCTACCCTTCAGATTCAGCATACTGTATGTCTTATATTGTGTTTGATTATAGAAAATGTTCTCTACCAATTCTTTCCAAAATCTGAAAGGGATTATCTTAATTATATTTTTTCTCCTTCAGTTAAGTTTCTCTTCTTCAATTCCAAACAAAATGCTATCTATACAGAAATCCTAGATCCAAGATTCTGATGCAAGAAAGACCTTCTGGGACTCCAATGTATATATAGTCTAGCTATCACTGACTTTTGTAGTGCTTTCTGTAGCAGATGACATAAGAGAAGCAGCCTGGAGATTGGACTGTTGCTTTTTGTTCTTTCCAAATTCTATCACCAATATTTTCCCATGTAGTTTATATCCATTTACTAGATGTAATGCTTGCCATGCTATCTCCTTATCTAAAAGGGAAAGAAAAAAAAAACATTAATGTACACAGGGCTTAACAATTCGATTCTATTCCAAGTTTAGTTTATGTTGTTTTGCCTTGGAGGTAAATGTAGGCTGTAAAGCCATATAGTTATTTGATTTTATTATCTTTTCCAAATCTCAAATTTGTATAACTCAGCAAGATTAAACTAATGGCTAAGAACAGTGATAAGAAAAACTTGAATATTTGAGAGTGCCACCTAATTCAAAGATATAGGTAAAGAAACAAGAATATAGACAGTATGCTAAAGAAGGCTAAGCTATAACTAATAATACATGAGCTTCTATCTTAGATAACAGATTATAGGTATTGTGAGAATGAAATCATTTTCAAAATAGGAAAACACAAATAAAATTATCATTGTATTGAGGACATTTTGCTACTTTTTTTTCTTTTGATAGGAGAGTGGTTGCAGGAGCCCTCATGGGATAAATAAGTTTAATAATCCTTGTAGGCATATGGAAACTTGAGGTGTGAGAGTATATAGTATAGAGCAGCAGTATTCAATTTATGGGTCTCAAAGTCTTGATGTGGAAATCAGGAAGGAGTGGAATTATTGCCCAGAGTCTGTGAAATCTTGAGTAGACAAGCAATGTCTTTAGACTAAACTAATTACTATCACACTTATATATATACTACAAATTTTCAAATGTTGATAGCAGCTATCATGATTAGTAAAACAGCTATCCATGTAAAAGTACTTAGTTTATAAAGCCTTTTTATTATATATTTTTCAATTAATAGATCATATTAGGTAGGGGTCCATGAAATAATTTTTTGTTTAATAAAAGGTCTTCACACTTGAAAAGACTGAAAACCACCAGTGTAGGTGATCTGTAAACCTTCAATAAGATAGAGAAGATGGTATAAGACTGTACGAAAAGAGTGGAGTTTGGTACCGCTCATGTGTAAAAGCACTTGCCGATACATCCATTACTAGGCTGTTTATAAATGATGATAGTTTAGGGATAATGAAATGTATAGCTCCTACCCAGCTTCCACTTCCCCAACCTCCCCAAAAAGTTAATCTGATCTGGCATAGAAACTGAAATTCCTACATGATTGCTCCCTTTGGATTAGGATACTGAAATCATGTATTACGGTACAAACGATATATCATCATCCACTAGCCAATTATGAATTACTCATGAATTAGCATATTAGCTTGCTGTCTTGTAGTCATAAAGGAATAGGGCATAAGGCAAGTTTAAGTGTTCTGATCAGAATACCAATATATTAATAAATAATATAATTATGACTTGGACCAGAAATATTACTATGAACAATGGGAAAATAAATTTTGGTAAAGTGAGAAGAAAGTGCCATGACTAGGGAAAATTGAGGACAACGTGGTAAGGTGGTCATGCAGTCAATGGAGGACAGGAAGAAAAGAAGGGACGATAGAAGAACACTGAAAACATATTTTGCTTACTTCTTTTCCCTTCTTCTCATGTGCTTGTTCAACACATGCTTCTTATGTGTTGTAGAGAAATCAGAGGACTATATCTAAATTAGAGAGGGTATAAGTAGTCTCTTATGCTGATGCTACAACTGGGTAATTATCTGGATGAGGCTACTTACTGGGGAAGGTGATGAAAGCCTGACCCCTCATTCGTCCAGTCATCATTCGGAACTGAATTGGGGGTCCTTTTTTCTCCTGGAACCGAGCAAACAATGAGACAAGATCTCTTTCTGTCACCCGAGGGCTAAGGTTCTTCAGGTATAACACCTAATATAAACCAAAGATCAACAGAGATATCACATGAGGGAGGTAAGGCAACTATTTCATAGTGGTTAGAATTAGTTAAAAATAAAGATGGTAGATTGAACACATGTATCCAATTTCACTCCCTCCAGATAACTCTCAAAAACTGTAAGGATTTTTTTTTTTTATTTAAACAAAACCACAAGTTTAGGAAGAACAAGGAAAAGAGGCAATAATGACAATATTCTGGAAGCTGGAAAATAACTGGATGAGTATACTCAAGAAAGCTCAATCTTGAATCAGCAGTGGGGAAAGCCAGGAACCAATCCGATCTATACCTAAGAATCCTAAAACGGTTCAAGAATTAATAGCTTCAGGTATTTCTAGAAATAGATCTAAAGGGATAGGGTTAAGATTAGGTGGGTAGGTTGAAAGTTGCTTAAAAACCAAGTATACTTTAAAATATCCTCCCCTACAATATGCTACTGGGAAAGGCCACTCCCAATCCTGGTGAATACTGGAGGTTGATTCACTGAATATGGGGAATGACAGACACAGTTCAAGGTGTGAACACTGTTTATGAAAGCAAGGAGATTAAGATAAATGATGCATACTGAATGCTGAGAACACCCTAGACATTTTTTCCCATTTGCTCTCCCAAGCAAGAGCTTGTAAGTGTCTACTCTGAAGAATCTGATTAGTTCCAAGAGGAAAGTTTAAAAAAAATACTTATTTGGGATGGGGAATTTCTCCAACAAATGGATCAGCCATATGACTTTAAAGTGAAGCTCAAAGTCAACAAGGACCACTCATGTACTCAAAGCTTCCAATGATTATCAGGACATGAATTAATGAACATGATTATCAGGCATGTGAGGAAAGTGTCTAATGCGAAAGACAGAGAACAGATAAACAAACAGAAATGAAAGCAAATAGAAAACAGAACATGCAAGGAGAGAAAACTTCAAAAGCCATTATAAATCCCCTCAGAGAAATAGGAGACGACATTCTATCTATTAGGAATGGGATGCTATTTTTAAAAATAGACCTGAAGCAACAAACGAACAGGACAGACTCATGAACATGGACAATAGACCAGTGGTTACCAGAGGGGAGGGGAGAAAGGGTAGGTAGATGGGGTAAAAGGGGTCAAATATGTGGTGAAAGAAAGAAATCTAACTATGTGTGGTGAACATACAATGCCATATATAAACACATATATGTATGTGTATATATGTATGTATGCATGTATGTATGTGTGTGTGCATATATATACACACACACACATATACATATATATACACATATATATGTCTTACTGCTAAATTGGATTTCATTAACCAATGTCACCATAAAAAAAAAAGAATATTCAAGAAAATAAAAAATGAGCTCTTAAATGTAAATGAACTTAAGTTCTTATCGGTTTAAAATATATTGTTATAACTCTTCAGATGTTTTACGTAAGCCCCATTGTAACCATAAAGAAAATATCTAAAGAAGATACATAAAAGAAAATGAGAGAGGAAAAAGGACATCACTACAAAAAAATCTGAGAAACACAAAGGTAGATGTTAAGAGAGAAAAAGAGGGGCAAAAGAGCTACAAGACAGAAAACAACTAATAAATGGCAATAGTAAGTCCTTCCCTATCAATAATTACATATAAATGGATTAAAAACCCTAGTCAAAGACATACAGTGGTATAAGACTTCAAATTATACTACAAAGCGACAATAATCAAAAAGGCATGGTATTGGCAGAAAAACAGACACACTGACCAGTGGAACAGAATTGAGAGTCCAGGAGTAAACCTATATTTATATGGGTAAAGAATTTTCAACAAAAAAGCCAAAAACATACAGTGGAGAAAGGATAGCCTCTTCAGTAAATGGTGCTGGGAAAACTGGAAGGCCACCTGCAAAAGAATGAAACTAGACTGCTGTCTATCACCACACACCAAAAGTAACTAAACATGGATTAAGGACCTAAATATAAGACCTGAAACAATAAAATGCACAGAAGAAAATATAGGAACTGAACTCAAGGACCTTGGATTTAAAGAAGATTTCATGAATTGGACCTCAAAAGCAAGGGAAGTAAAAGCAATAATAAATGAATGGGACTACATCAAACTAAAAAGCCTCCACT